AAATGTATATTCAAAATTCATCTGCTTTTGGATATTCTTTGGTTAAGATAATATCCATTTTTGTTCCTCAATTAATCAGTTCAATAAAATAATGATTAACAGGAATCATACTAGAATCTGTATTGTCAATCCACCAATCAGCGTGAAGAAGATAGGCATTAATTGACAGGTCACGTTAGAAATCACAACGCGCTACTAAAACTTTACCCAACAACAAGAGGTCAGTGATAAATCCAGAGATAGAAGGACGAAATCACTAGGAAATGTCGCCTTTATCAAATATTTGAAAATGGCAGAGGCAAAATATAGCATAGGGCATTCAAGAAAACCAAAGGGAAAGATTGGAGTCGGTGGACAACCAGTTGTAAGTCAACGAATGCCACAAGTCGTCGTTTAGGCGTCTTGGAATGCAGTCTTGTTTGATGTTGTGGCCGGGTTTTCTAACTGTGATTTTCCGCTTCATAGCATAGCTGGGATAACGATATTGAACTTCAACCTACTAGTTCTCTTGGATCAGCTACTTCAGCTCAAAATACGAGTTATAATGGAAAAGATTCCAGCCGGCATGTGGTTGCACAAACGTGGCTTGGTGGTAGCAAAGAGGCATTCAACCCTTCAAGGAAGAAAGACAAAGATTCTTCCTTTGCTACGGCTAATTTTCTCTCGAATAAAAATGCTCCAATAAAGGTCACTGTGACTGGTGAATGGGCTTTACAAGAGTGTGAGGTAGGTACTTGAAAAGACGGGTTTTCTAGAGAGGCTTATGGTTAAACATTTTGTACAGTGTGAGTAAGCTTACTGTCAAATTTGTGTCGTGTATAGAAAGTGTAAATCGCTCTGCATATAACCACTGTTTGACTTCACTGTACTCATAAAAACAAACCCAAATCACTAGCGTCTTGACTAACCATTTGCTTAATTATTTCAAGTGGTTTCCTAGTTTCAAAATATTGTTCATATTGAAAATCGCCACAGGAATTTACAAACTGGACCAACTTGTTGATGAGAAGAGGCCGTTATCGACCTGTTTCTGATATTCGTAGATCCGTTGGTGATGGAGTAACTCTGGTTCATATGCTGGAAATACTCTGTAAGTACAGAATTCTTGACAATTAACTAATAATTTGATCATCTTAAGAAATTTCGTAATCATAATTATATAGTAAGATCGCCGTGATAAGGCTAGCAAATGTCATTATTGTAATCCCGACTTTATTTCTGTCAATAACACTTTTTTCTGTCATTGTTGCATATTTACGGTCTCTCTCGCTTCTTTTTTTGATAATGCAAGCATTATCTCTAAGATAACTCCAGGATTAGTTAGTTTACATTGGTTCAACGATAACACATCGTTGAAGCCACATCGATCTGGTTAAAGTGTTAAACACAGACGTTCTTAAAGTAAAACGTCTGGAAATGTCTTTGTACACACTAAGCAGTGGAATTATTAGAAGCTTGAGAGATCTAATATGTCGTGGTTGATTAGCCCATATGTTTATTTAGCGTTGCCGTGATCCAGCTCTTGGTTTGTTATTAAAATAAACCCCAGGAATCTAAATAAGGCCATGAGAGTCTAATTAGATATGGCAGTTGGATATTGTTTGGGGTCGACTACATGCCATGATCAGCATGATATTGTGGTAACTGACACACGTCCTAATTAATTTTTCTGCAACGCCAATAAAATATCTATAATTTGTTAATGATGATGTTAAAAAATGCGTAATATTCTTTTGTTCAGAGTTTTATAATAGATATTAATTTATCTATTAGTTAGTGATGTAATTCATGGTACCCACTCAGACAATTAACAAATAGACATCAGTTTTTTATGTGTCTGTCCTCTTATTGATGATAAATTGCATCATCAAATGGTCAAATTTATCTTGAATAAGAGGACAGACAAATAAAAAACTGATGTCTATTAGCTTTTTACAATAACAAAAACCATAAAAACTTCTGATTTTTAGCGATCAAAACAACCAATATAAAGCGCGCGCACTTGTTGACGTCAGCTTTATCTGTCTGTCCTCTTATTGATGATAAAAAGTAACCAATCAGTGCACGAGAAATTTTTAAGTTATTGTAAAATAGTTGGTGCATGCCAATCAGTTTTCCCAGTTAAAATCTCGTACCACAAACAACTACACAGTATCTGTTTTAAAGAGTTCTACTAGGATTATGAGGCAATTTTATTTTATTTCTACAGGACATACTATATTTATAATCAATTTTCTGTGATGAGAGTTCTAAATTCTGAGATATTCTAGATAATTTGTTAAGCTTG